CGAGCAAGGCCTCTCGTACCCGTGGGGTGTTCCGGTGAGGTCGACGTCTCTGTACTGGATCTCATTCTTCTCCTTGGCGGATGTGGCCTGCCCTACTGTCATCTTTAAACACTTTAGACGCTCCCAGGCTCCACAAATGCCGCACTGGGCACTTCCTTTCTGTGCTGACTTCTCACAGCAAGGACAAGGCCATCTGGGTCCTGGATTCATTTCTACGTCTCCTGAAAGCTCCAAAGGCCTTCTAGGCCACCAGCCAGCTTTCTGGTATCGAGAGACCGCTGCTGGCGCTTCGGCTCCCGACTCCAAAAATATGGCGGTCCTCTTTCGGCGCACTTCTTGCATGTCATTGGGGTTTGATCCTGTAAGTTCCATTCGTAGACGTCTTCTTGGAAGTCGACGTCCAGTGGACCCGGTGCCGACGAGGAGGTTGGAATATGACCGGGTGGTGGTGGTGGTTATAGAGAATAAAATAATACAGGAAAAGAAGATAAATTAAAAGGGAGGGGAAGAAAGAGGACAAAAAGGATGGAATAGAAAAATAAGAAGACGACGGGAGACGAAGAATAAAGGAGGGAGATATACTTTACACCACATTTTGTCCTGTAAACAGTAAGGATAACTCTACAAGTGAGAATGAGCTGTCCAGTCAAGTAAAACACCACGTACCGCGTATAACTTCTTTAGTTCCTCCAAACTGAGACTCCGAAAACGCTGCCAAAGATCTAGGAGTTTAGGATCTTCGGAATTCTCAAGGCGTGTTGCTAAGGCTGAGGCATCCGATTTCCCGGTTTCAGTCTCGCCCAATGTTCGGCAAGCTTGTACATACACCTGCAGAAAATCCCATTAAAATATTCATCTAACCATCACGTGAAAAAGAAGGGCACTAGAGGACCCTGGTAGTTACCGAGTGCAGATGCTTTAGGGGGTCTTTGTCGAGGAGGGTGTGGTCACCAAACTTTTGGAAGCCTAAGGAGAGCATTCCTAGGGCGCGGGGGGAAATATAGTCTCCGGTAATGAGTGGGCAAAGGGGCAAAAGCGCGGACAAGAGCTCAATGAAATCATGCCTTACCGAACTGAGTGCCCCAATCTCCCAGATAGTTGATGGCTACTACCTTGTTGCCGGCAGCAACGTTGATGTTTCTGACAAAGTTTCCAACAACGGTCGCCCTGAAGTGCCCCATGTGCATGGGCTTTGCGATATTAATAGAGCTAAAAAGTGGTTAAAAAGGGAGGGGGAGGGATTAAAGAGAGAGGACGACTGCAATCAAAATAGCCTTATTCGCTTATTTGCCTCAACTCACCTAAACTCGACGGCTACACTCTGGGGCCTGCCCTCGGGTCTTTGAATGAGCTGCGAACATGCCTTGGGAGAGACTGTCAAAAGTCCGAGGTCCAGGCACATTCTTATGGGATCCTACCGTACGAACTGCTTGACCACTTTTATAGGAGACTAACCTTCATGGTGTTTTGAAGTCAGTCTTGCAAAGGATGAAAGGCTGGTCAGAACATCTAGGGAAGACTGACAGACGGCAGGTGCGAGCTGAAAAAAAAGTTCCAAACGAAAAAAAAAACACTGTAGACGGAAAGCCTGGATAACCTTTTTAGGGGGCTAATACTAAAAAAAGGCAAAGAAGAAGATGGCCTCACCGACGAGGGCCTTTTCAGGTCGAGGGAGTCTACATTCATATCATTCGGGGAGGCAAAATAATAAAATGTGGCACATATAACGAAGAGGGTCCCAATTGGCGAAGTCATTTATTAAAGCAGTATTCCCAGAGTTACTACATGTCAGCACCTGACAAAGTGCTAGCTTTAAAATCTTGCAGTGACCAGGAAATTTGAAAGACACCGAAAGAAAAATAGCCCGGCACCGCGAGCTTCTCAGAGGTCAATTTCTAAATAGTATTTTCCAAAAGATAACACTTAAATGCCGATACCCTCATAAAGCTCTCCTACAACAGCCCTCCAATGTCAAAGAAACTAACACCAACTTTCTCCTGCTGCCCAAACACAGTGGACTCAGTTCCAGACGTCCAATCCTGACATTGCAGCGGTCCATAATCACCAAAACACTGTGCAGCAAAATGCTCTACCAATTAGAAAGGCAGTTCTGGTTGGAAAGCCCGTCGCCTTTGGGCAA